GTCTAATGGGGAATGTATGCAAAGAAATTTTGTATCTGCTCCCTGGATTGCAACATTGGAATTTATATAGTTTTCTGTTTTTAATCCTTATTTTTGTTGTGCTCCACTCAGAGCTGAGTGCTCTGGTGCGGTATACAAACATAATAAATATGATTTGTTCACTGAATAGCAGGTTGTTATTACAGTCCATAAAATTTGTGAGCTTTTACATTTTCCAGAATTCTTAAATCCAGAGCAAGAAATGGAGGAAACAAGTCGGATCAGTCTTTAGGTTTGCAATTAAAAATCCATCTGAGAAGCGGTTTGAGGACTGAGTGAAACACAAAACAGCGATTTGAGATATGCAACAATCCCCCGCCCCGCGCAACATTTAATTTCCGAACTCTATTTCACTCTTAATTATCATGACGAGAGCCTCATCAGCCTCAGGTGGCGCTTTTCTATGATTGCGTCCTCACGCCAAGAAATAACGGGACGGCGGAGGCTTCCGAACGAGCGATTCTGAATACAGCATGGAAAGCGAGTATTCCACGAATGAAGGTAATGATAATTTCTTAATGATAATTAAGGCACAGGTAGTTTTCATGTCATGCTACGAAGAATGCTGAGGACGGAAAGAGACACGTCGACTAGAAAGCGGTGGGCTGGAGAGAGTTATCTGTTGCCAGGCCCCGTTTCTAGGCAACTACAGCGGCGGGACCAAGAACCGTGACGCTCTACTTGCAGGGAAGAACCTCTATGGTTGTTAAAAGTGGCCGATCTGCCTTCCTCTCCGTGGTTGGTGAGGCGTTTGGCTGACAACCCGGGGCTTAGAAGGGGGTGATGAAACTGGAAGGAGCGCTTGATCCAGCAACGCGTAAGCGTGAGTACGGAGCAGGCAAGGGAGGAGGAGGAGGAGGAGGAAGAGGAATATTAGGTTTTGAGTGCTTAGCACTTAACTCGGTTTCTTGGAGCCGTGGAGACTTTGCAAGAAATATCGTGTTTTAATGGGATGTTAGGAATGTTGCTTAAGAGAGGAATCCTCAGTTGGAATAGAATAGAGTAGTATACTTTATTTGGCCAAGTGTGATTAGACACAAAGCATTTGTCTCTGGTGCAGAAGCTCTCGGTGTGCATGCAAAACAACAGAATCATCATCACCATCCCAATAAGAGGGGTAGTAAATAAGATAAGGATAAATTGTAATATTACAGCCATACTACATGGGTAAATATACATAGGCATTGGATAAATATAAAGAGAATCGACTCCAGCTGCAGCTTTTGGTCCGTTTTTTTCCGGAGTAAACCTTATTCAATTAAAAGGGACATCGGAATAGTCATGCATGCATGAGGTCGTATCGCAAAGCTACACCTCATGCTTCTCTTTGTGGGAAGGCTACTGAACAGATGTCCTTATTCCTGAATATGAATGCGCTGAAATCAGTTTCAGGCATGTTGATCTAGAAGCGAATTCTCAGAGAGGTGGAATTTAGTTCTGAGCGCAGAACTATAGTATAAAGTTTTGTTGTTTTTAGATAGGATGTGTGAGCAGTGCCAGGCAAAAAGAACAGATACCACTCCCCACCCCACTACATTTCATCAACTCATTCTGTGAGCTATTACCAGATAATTAAGTGCCAATTTTAAATGCCCAATTTAAGAGGGGACTATGTTATGTTGTTTAATTTTGTAATGGTTATCACATTAGTTCCCAATAAAACAAAATGGGAGTAGGGTTGTGCAATCCTTTTAGTATTGCACAAAATAAAATCTATTTTCTCTATTCTCTAGTCCAAATCCTGTGGAAGAACTTTCTGAGTTCTGGCTCAATTAATTTTCAGTCTGGCCTAAGGGAGAAATTATGAAATATATATAGCATAGGTCATATTAAATACACTGAATTTAATTTTAAAAACATGTTTAAATTGAACAAAGCAACATTTATTTTTACTTTTCATTGGCTCTTACTTCTGGCCTGCTGTTCTTTTTGGAAAGGACTCCTGGTTTGAAAAAGTTGCAGTCCCCTAGTTGAAGTTACTGAAGAGGAAGTAATCCTTCAGATAGTAGCAATCTAATCAGGAGATTTGAATTTCTGAATGGTAATATTTATGCACAAATCAAATTAAATAAGAACTCTATCCGACTCTTAATTTCTCTGTCAACAAACCTTATAACAGAAAGATTCTTGGGCTGTATTTTTTAAATCTGTGTCACAGTCTGACCATACTTTCCAAATGGAAAAGTGACAGATAAATCTAGGAAGAATTGGAGGATAGGGGAAAAGTCTATATAAAACTTTAATACAAATAATTATGATTTCTTTAACTGCTCAAGTAAATTTCGCCCAGATAGAGATATGTATATGTTTTCTAGTTAACTAAAATTTAATTGGTTTATTCTACAAATAGCAAGTTGGGATGGAAATCCAGCTCCTGTTTTATTTACTTACAGTTTTTACTATTTAGTTTCAGGACAGTTTGAGATTTTTGTTTTAATATTATGTGCTGTTTTGAGAGCATTTCTTTTTTTAAAAAAAATTGCACTCTGAATGTTTTCCACTATCTTTATTTTTAAAGATATAACTGAATTCTTGAAGTATGTTTAATATGCAAATTCTGCTATAAAGGATCCTTTCTGTCCTCATGGGATCTCTCTATACTTCCAGCTATTTCTGCTTTATTTTTAGTACAACTGTGCCCGCTTCTCTGACATATTTAAAATGTGAGTAAGCTTGACCCAGGGAAGTTGCTTTACCTGTACCTTTCAGACAATTATGCTTAATTAGGTCTGTAATAATGTTCCAACCTGTATAATATTAACAGAACAAGCTTGCTCCTTAAGGACCTTCCTTAAGCTTCCTTTAGTTTAAAGTGAGTACTGTATTTACTTACGATGTCTTACTAATTATGTTGTGGCTGCAGGCACACTTCACATTTAGGAGGAGTTGGGATTCTGTCTGTTGCCTTTTACAGGTAGTCCTTGACATACAACCACAATTGAGCCCAAAAATTGCTAAGCAAGACAGTTGTTTAGTAAATTTTGCCCCATTTTATGACCTTTCTTGCCACAGTTAAATGAATCACTGCAGTTGGTAAGATAGTAACATGGTTGTTAAGTGAATCTGACTTCCCCATTGATTTTGCTCGTCAAAAGGTCCCAGATGACTCTGGGACACTGCAACCATCAGAAATACATGTCCTTTGCCAAGCATCCAAATTTTGATCGTGTGACTATGGGGATTCTGCAATGGTTGTAAATGTGAAAAAAAATCTTAAGAGAGTGCTGTCACCCTTGAATTCAAACATGACATATAGGTCACTTTTCTCGGTGCCGTTGTAACATTGAACAGTCACTAAACAAATGGTTTAGTCACATTAACTGTTCCATTTAGTGGGAGAGACTGTTTTGGGTGATACACATCTACATAGAAACTTGCTAGTTTGGTCCTAAAATATGCATGCATGCCCTAAAATGTGCATAAAATATGCAGAACTAAAATAATCATGTTCCACACAACATTGTTTTGAGATAGGGCAAGTAGAAAAAAAGAAAATGGTATAACTGGTAGTGGTAAGCGATGGGTATGAGAAATAGGGAAAGGGAAGGTCTAAGAACAGTGAAGATGTGGGAGAATGCTGTTACCCTTGAATTCGAAGATGGCATATTCAACTAGCCCATTTTTCCCTTGCCTGATATTTGGGTGAACCAATTGGATATTTCTATCTACCAGTAAGACTTATCAGGAATACATGCCAGGATAATCAAAATCATTCTGAGTATCAGCCCTCAGAAACCTAAAAAAAGACCAGACCATCATGATCCTACCCACAGACAAAGGCCAAACCATGGTTATTATGGACAGCACAATATTTACAAAAGCAAAAGAAATACTAGAAGACAAACTTACATTTCTGCAAATATTAACAGAATTCAAAAACTAGAAGAGCGGATAAAGAGAACTCTCAGTGACCTCAGTAAGAAAGACCAAGTTACCCAATCTCCCACACTTCTGCGGATGCCCCAAAATACACAAACCTGACATACCTCTCAGTCCAATCATATCATTACAGGGGACCCTAAATAAAACATTGCAAAAGAATTAATAACAAGGCTTGGGCCCTTCACAAGAGGAAGCAAACACTCCATCAACTCTCCACTAAGGTGCCTTCAAAGAGAGTTGTGATTATAGATGAGGATAAAATCATGGCCTTATCTGATGTTCACCTCCATAGATCCGGAATTTGCCAAAGAATCTCCACAGCACATCTGACACGAAGATTGAAACATCCAGGATTATGGATCTCATAAACTTCTGCCTAACCACATACTTCCAATTTGATGTACAAATTAAAAGTATACCTATGGAATCACCCTTTTTAGGAGCTATAGTAGAGGTCATCATTCAACGTCTAGAAGCCATAACACAATTGTGGCAGGAAAGGCCATAAAATGGGACAAAACTCACTTAACAAATGTCTCACATAGCAACAGAAAGATTGGACTCAATTGTGGTTGTAAGTCGAGGACTACCTGTGTTGGAACTCTGAATTGCCTGGAACAGTTTCACTGAAATGTGAAGCCATAATCTACTTTTTCCATTACCAGTCTCCTTGTGTGTTTTTCTGGAATGCAGTATCACAAACCTTACAGTTTTGGCAAATTGGTTCTGCCAAACATAACACCATCACAGCTCCAGAAATTTATTTTTTTTAAATTTATATTTCTTTGCTTCTTGCTTTCTCTGTTTCCCTTATGTAGTTTCTTTTTATCTCTTGATAGCAAGGATAGTATAAGGAGGTAAGGATGTGAAGGAAATTGAAAGCAGGGGAAGCAAAGAGGGCATGCCTTTTAACACAAAAAAACAAAACTATTGCTTTCTTTTTTCTTTAGGGATTCCTGCATTTTTTAACAAACTTACTCCTGAATCTGTGAAACTCAACAGACAAGCCTTTGTGGTATGAGATTTTGTGATTTAAAACTTCCCTGGCACAGGAAAGTTATTTTAGCTGCTATTTAAAAAAAACTTCATTAAAAGAGTGAGTGGCAAGACCAGGTAAGTCTTTTCCTTCCTCTTTGCTCAAACAAGAAGATAATGGAAGCAAGTTACATCCTTGATCTGAATTCAGATTGAGGCAGGATAAATGGAAATTTGCTTGAATTTCCTATGACTATTTTTTCAGACCCACACTGGCTTTTTTGACATTTTCAGCTAATCTCTCTCTAAATATACCAACTCTGTTCATTTTGCTTGTGGCATAAAATAACCTTCCCTGCTGAAAGATTAAGTCTTCATTCTCCATAATTTCCAGTTGGTGGTTCCTGTTACAATTGCACTGTCACTTGATATGTATTGAATATACTGTGCAGCCTGTGCTGCTCCAGTGTCTTTGGTAATCAGTTGAAACGATCTCAGTGCCACTCCTAACACTAACTATGCTTTCTTCTAGAAGGAGAAACTACTGGTCGATGATGGCAAAAAACCCCAGGAATCTGGTAGCGACCTTTCCGACAAATAGATTTTTTATATTAATGAAGTTTGTCGGAAAGGTTATTATCAGTTTCCTGATTTTTTGGGATGACCTATGATAGGTTTCAGGTGACCGAGATGACCTTGGCAGAAGCAGTCAAGATGTTGTTCTGAATGTTGATAAATAAATAGCTACTTCAGAGAATATCTACTCTAAAAAAAATAATTCTAGTTTATCTTATATTAACATGTCTCCATAGCTCTTCTTCTAAATAAAACATTATTTACTGACTTTGCCCTGTATAAATAGGCCATTAAGTGTCAATGAAGCAAATGGCAGGCTTACGTTATGAAGCCAGTATAGATCCTTGCTTTTTTCTGTTATGTTTCTCAGCGCGAGCATGTGTGTGCATGCACACCCAGACACACAAACATATTATGGTCAGAATGCTGAGAAAGTTCTTAATTACTTGCATTGCAAAATTGATTTCTCTTAATGCTGATCCAGCACTATGCTGCAGCTTTCTCACTCTAAGGCTTATTTAACTTGATTGTGAAATGAACTAATTTCATTTCCCTAAACTATATTAATGTTATTTATAGTCAAAGATAAATTCTTAGTTACACATTGCACATAGTCAGGAAGATAATCACAAGGAAATGAAAGAACAATTAATTGTCATGAACAATTAAACTAAATTAAATAATCTTTAACATAAATTAATGATTATTTAGATTTCATTATAGATGATATGTTCAAAGCTGATGTACTGTTCTCTCACTGTTTTGCCATGAAATCTAAGGTTCTTATATCTTGAACTTTGCATATTTTACATTTCCCTGGAAAAATGTGTAGTTGTTTAATTTAATTACCTGTCAACCTTCAAAAGATATTTATTATACAAACTGGAACAGCTTTCCCCCACTTGGTATTTTTTTTTTTTTTAGTAATATTGACCATACTGATTTGTAATGTAGGAAGTGAAGCCCAACAAATGTAGAGGCCAGTAACCCAAACAGTCACTAGAACTTGTGTTACTACATATTCAGCAGCTTTTGAAATTGATGATAAGCATTTGAGAAACAAACTTGAGCACCTCTGTTTATAAGCAGAAACCCTGCAAACTCAGCATTTTTGACTTCTTAGACTTCAATTGAGCCAGTGTGTCTATGTAGTTAATTAAGTTTTGTGCTTTCCCATATTTTTCAGTTGCACCTATGGTAATTCTGAAGTAACTTCCTTTTTTCAACTTGAGGGGTCCTTGGTGCTCTCTGAGCTTAGTTGTTTTCTTTTAGATGTTTCATTACCCAAACTAAGTAACATCATCAGTACTAGTAAGGAATGGGAATTGCTCTCAGTTTATATTCTAATGGCTTGCCCTGTCAGTATTGGTGGGGGTGGTCTTAGAGGTTCTTTGGTTGTGTTGTTTACTGTTGGTTTGTTTAGCAGTTTCTTGATTGGGGTATTGTTTACTTGATTGTTGGTCTGATGTTAATCATGGAGTTAATCTATACTGATCTGGTTGCTAATTGCTGGTGGAGAGGTGCTTTAGTCTTTTTGTTCTCTTTTTGTTGATTGTCTATTTTGCATAGACTATAGATATTGTTTATGTTTAGGTGACTACTGATGGACAATTTGTCAAAGTGCCAGGCTTCTAGAAATTCCCTGGCATTTTTGGACTTGGCTTGGTCTAGGATGGTCACATTTTCCCAATTAAAACTATGGTGAAATCTGTCTATATATTGTGAAATTAAAAATTTTTCATTGTGTCTTATGACTGCTCAAAGAATCTCTAAGACTACCCCCACCAACATTGACAGGTAAGCCATTAGAATATAAACTGACAGCAAACTGCACTCCTTACTAGCACTGATGATGTCACCTAGTTTGGGTAACAAAATGTCTGCAAGAAAACAAGCAAGCTCAAAGAGCACCAAGGACCCCTTATGTCAACCCTGAGCTACGAATATTCTCCTTTATTAGTTTTTTCTATTTATCTACTGTAAAAGAGATGCTTGGACCACTAATAGCATAGCTTCATTCCTCAAAGCTGTAGAGTTTTCCTATCTACTTGTCATTAAAGTTATAGTATGTGTGCCTTTGGCTTGGCACCTTCTTGATACCGTACCGTCTTGATACCATACCTGAAACCGAGCTGTGAAATTGGAAGTTGCAAGCCATTCACTTTTTGTATATGGCTTTAATAAGCCCATTTCTGCCCCTTCAGTATTGCATTTCTCTGACTATCCTGTTGGTAAAGGATGGAGCAATACCTGCATGAATCACCAATTGATATTGAAAAGAGAAGCAAAAGTTACGTTACTTGATCATCCTGGGATAATGTCCACATAGGTAGCCCATGTTTAATAACCCTAATTGGAACCGAAATTTTCATTGCTAAATAGTTATGTGAAACCATATGACTGTACCACTTAACGACAACAGTTTTCTAGTCCTGATTGTGGTCGTTAGGCCAGAACCTCATACTTCTCCTACCTTTTGTTTGTTGTCTCTACTTCAATTCCCCCCACTCACAACCCCCTGCCATCTCTGTCTTTTTGGCCACCCTGAACATTGCCCTGTGCATTCCCGCTGCCCTTATCACTCCCTGCTGTCCCACAGCTGACCTTTGCTATCTTCTTCCTCTTGCTGCTGATGAGGTGTGCCCAGCTGGTCTTATATTAGGCAACTGCTGACCATACCATTTGCCCTGCACGGTCATAACTTTGTGTGGTCATGAACAAATGGTCATTAGGTGAGGATTACCTGTATTGCAAATTCATGCCAATTTTTAGATCTTGGAAATCTAGAATGAGTTAATGCAGTTTTATTTTTAAATATACATTAAGACAGGAATCTGATTCATATGTACTGCATCACAATGTATTAACCACTTTCACTTTTATATGTAGAAAGCACTGATGGTACCTGCTGTTTTAAAGCTTCAAAATTGCTTTAAGGAAATATGATGAAAGCATTGCGGCTTTGGTTCATGGATCCTTTGCTTGAATTTGGCAGAATATAGCAATTTGGCTGTGATTATAGAGGTGGCAGTAACTTGAAGAGTTGTCCATAAATCAAGGTACTTGAAATTAAAAACTGGTGTTTTTGAACAGGAACCCAGTAAATAATATTTTGAAATTATCTCTGTTTTGTGTATCAGTTAAAATATCTATTTTCAGCTGAAGATATTGTTCTGTATTGTCTACGAATCTGAATTTTCTGATCATGCAATCTACAGATCGTTTTATAGTAAAATATGGGAACATTGGAAGCTTTTTAAATTTGAAATCAGACTCTGGATATGTAACAATAGGGCTAAGTGTATAGGGTGAAAGTTTAGAGAACTCAGTACTCATTTTCCAGAAGTCCTCTGTACATATCCTAGATGCATATCCTGCCATAGTGGATGGCTGGAGAGTCCTTAATGCTGTCGCTTATTTCAAGAATGAATGGCAGTTCTCAGTGCATCACTTACCTTCAAGGAAACATCTTATCTGATATTCTCCCTGTTAGTACAGGTGTAGCAGAGAGATGCGATTTTCATATGATGAATTATTTTCTGACACATTAAAAGAAAAAACAGGGAGGAAATTTTATAATGCCACTTCATTATTGACTTTATTTTTAAAAGGAAAGGAGAAGATAGAATCCCTTTTTAGATAGTCACATGCATTTTACCATTCAGTGGCAAAAGGGAAATAAAATATAGAATTGTTCAGATCACAGATTGCATCTCAAAAAGTTGCTCCTTCAAAAAATATAAAGGAAAATATAAAGTTTGCAAACCATAGGAGTTGGTCTGCTTCTATTTAGAAGCAATTGGGCCATAAAATTTCAAGTTGTAAAAACAAGGAGTTATTGACGAAAAATTGAACCAATAAATTACAGAGACAAAATGCTAGAATTAAACACATACACAATCAAAAACAATTAGTTTTATTCAATATTTTGAATAAAGAGTCTGCATGCTTTTCTTTTTCCCCATCTTCTTGTAAATTTAACCTTTTATGAGTGACTTAGGAATGCTGTATTGTACCTATGAACCAAGAAAATTTAGAATTCGTTGTGTTATAGAATAAAAAAGGACATTCTTTTCTTGTAGTTCAGGTATTTCACCAATCTTTTGCATTCTGAACGCCCTTTGGATATGTGAACTTTAATTCCTTGAATTCTTAGCAATTGTGATGCTGGATTATAGGAGTTAAAGTCCATACACCTGAGAGGTGTCTGCATTGTAGAAGATGTTATTACATTTTGCACCTGTTTCTACTCTTAATTTTGTGTGGGGCTGACTCCGAAGCTTATTGCATGATAACATATTTTTTATTTCTGTCTCATTCTGTACAGGTTGTTCCATTTGAAGTTTACTTTCCACTGCTCATTTGGTTAGAAACTGATGAGTTCAAAAGCCAGAGGAAATTTGACAGAATGCAACATCATATAACATCTTTCTTTCATTTGATTTTCCTCCTTTCCTGCACTGTGGCAGGACTTCATCAAGAACAGTATCAGAAGAGAAGCTTCTAATTTATGAAGGGTCATGGGCTTTTGGTCTGCCAGCTTTCATCTCTCCTACAGACTCAAGATATTGATGGTCATTACCCTCTGCGTCTTATTGATACGCTGGGCTACCTCCACTTACCTGGTGGATACTTTACATGAAACTCCAGCAGCAAAGGGCATGGCTGGAAGTTTTAGGAAGCCAACCACTATTAAGGGGGAACAAAAGGAGAATTCAGAGATGAAGGCCTTGCTTACTGAGAAACTACCCACAGCAAGCCCCCTCTGCCCCTCTGTGTCTCCCTATCTGCGTAAGTCAATTCACATTTTATTCTTTCTGGAAAAGGAGGAGTTAAGGCCTTGAGTTTTTAAAAAAACCTTCAAGTTTAGTCTTTACCAGTATGATAAAAATGCTAAAAGCCCAAAATGTTCTTTTGAACATGTTAGTCATCTTCCGTCTGCTAGTAATATATTCTTGTGTCTGATGGAAAGTCTCTTAAGCCGAGATGGGCAATTAATTTTCTCAAGGGGCCACATGAAAAACTGGGGCTGTGGTGGGGGCCACCATTGCCCCCCCTGCTGCCACCTCCCCATCCCACACTGCCATCCTTGCCACCACACTGATGCTCTCCCTCAAAACTGCCAATGCCATGTCCCCCAATGCCACCAACACAGCTGGTTACACCAGGTCCGCCAATGGGCCAGGTGTGGCCCATGGATTGTAAAACACCCAGGTCCGTTCTTAAGGATTATTTAAATACTTGGGTCCTATAGCAAAGCTGCTGTTGTTGGATCTTAAATTCCATAATTAATGTGACCCAAGACTTTTTAATATCTGTGTTACTTCCTGTAAAATGTCAGTGAATTCCAAAATTTCTTACATGATCTAAACATTTTTTTAAAAAAATATTTATTTGTATTTATTAGCTCCCAAATGGACATCCCTCATAATATTATCAAAGAATCCCCATTGATGGGACTCACCCATCAAAAAGCAATTACTAATTAATTTAGCAATGTATGGATATAGCTTTAATGAAAAATTCTAAACTTCACACATTCAGTTCTTTTGGATTTGAATTATAAAATGCTAGTTTGGAATTAAATGTATGCCCTATTTTAAGTATAATAGTAGGAATTAAGAAGCAAAAGCCCGAAGAACATAGGGGTGGAACATCATATTGTAGCTATTTATTTATTTAGTAGTGCTTCCTCAGTTCCTGAAAGATTCAGGGCAATGAACCAGAAAGCATATTGACATAAGTACAGCAACAATGAAAACAGTGCAGTTCAATCATAAAAATGTCTGTGAATGACATTCATAACCTTTGGAAAATCCAGATTTAAAAGCTAGTGAAATGCAAGAAGGAACAGGGCCAAATGCACCTCTGGGGGAATCATTTACCAAAGTATGTGGCAGTACATGGAGAAAGCCTGTTAGTCTGTTACCTTGCACCTTTTACATTCTTACAGTTGTCTGACTGCTATATTTTTGCTGCTTGACTCACATAAACTATGTTGCAGCAGCCAAGCCAAATGATGATCATGGTATGAGTTACTATTGCCAGAACATTGTTGGCCAGCTGGAGTTTTAATTGACCCGCTATCTGAATCTGAACAAAGTCCATCTTCTGCTGGTCCATCTTCTGCTTGATTGGGGAGCCTGTGGTTAGTTTCCATTTATAGCGTATCTTTATTCAAAGACCCTAAAATCCTGTGCACAAATCTCTTCAAATTTATCCTCTCAGAAACAACCCTGTGAGTTCCCTGAGTGGAAATGGCTCAAAGTCAATGTGCTTTATGGTCAAATGGGAAGATGAAACTCCATCTTCCTGGTCTAAGTCAGGTACCTTAACCATTGTAGGACATTCACTCTTAAAAGACTGCATTGGGCAAGATATTGCATGAAGAACATTGAAGTTTAGTGCAATTGGTCAATCTAGACAATGACATTTGTTAAATTCAGCAATTATGGTTTGCAAACCATGTTTTGTATTTTTAGCACTATCCATTAACCAGGGTGTTATGATTTGCTCAACATGCTGTGCTCCAAAGAAAGTCAAGTTCTAGCAAAAATGTAAAACCAATCATTGCTACCCCATTCTGTCCTCAGCAAAATTGTGGGTAGCTTACCAGAAGTATCAATTGTTTATGTGGCATTTACTGTAATGGAGCTGAATTTCAAAACTGTAAACCTCCTCCTTACCCTTTTTATGATTCTATAACAGTAGGAGCTGATCAACAGTGTGACAAACTACCTTTCCTTCAGAGAAGGAGTTTAAACAGAGATTGGATAGCCATTTGTATGATAGTAATATTGGGCAAAGAATCAGACTAGAAGATCTCCCTTTCCCACTCCTTAAAGTCTGTGATTCTATCATCCCCAGTCACTTCCAGGGGCTCTGAAGTCTTACTATAGTGAGAGTTGCGAACATAAGGCTTGCTTTTTCCTATAGGAGGCCCCAGCAAGCTCACTTTCAGAACATCTCTTACTCTGGAAGAACTGCGAAAACAGAATCCTTTGGTAGCCAAGGGGCGCCATAGGCCAAAAGATTGCACGGCTCAGCAACGGGTGGCTATATTGATTCCACACCGCAATCGAGAGAAGCATCTGCTGTACTTGTTGGAGAATCTTCATCCATTCTTGCAGAGGCAGCAGCTGGATTATGGCCTTTATGTCATCCACCAGGTGAGTCCATATAGAATGAGAAAAGCAAAAGCCTCCCTCAAATCAAGTAACTTCTGGTGACTTCATGGATATGTCCAGGCAGTTTGTTTGGCAACAATATGGAAATGGTTTGCATTCTTTGTTGATGGATTTTTAAAATGTAATTTAATTTTTTATTGTTTGACTTTCCAGACTAACCTGAGGTTATTTTCTGATGGACTCCCATCCAATATTAATTAGGCCTGAACCGGTTTGTTCAACCAAGAACTGAATGCTACTAATGCCCTGAAATACCTTTTGGTGCCCTTTGCTTATTGTTTTTGATTGTGTAATTTTTTTCAGCTAACTAGAAATATATTACTTCAGGGAAGGCAAATATTATTTCTATAGCTCCATTTACAAAACCAATTCAGGGTATTAGCAGTCCTGAGATGTCTTTCTACGTGTGAATATTAAGGAGTTTATTTTGTCTTTTGCTGCAAGAGCTTAAAGCAGATTGAACACATTAAACAGAGTAGGTGGCAAATTAAGTTCATGCACCATTGGTAGAGTATTATTGTTTTCTAAATTGCAAGTCCTGAAATATATATTGTCTTCATTGCCTGTTTGCCCCCTGCTCATGGTTTGGTGTCTGACTTCTTTTCTTATAGTTATCACTTCTTGCACTCACATTTTTTAAAGACTGAGACTTTTTTCTTCTTGAATAAAAGTTCTCGGCCTTTAATTCTATGAAAGCAAAAGCATTGCAGCACAAGAAGCAATAAAGCTGTACATTAATTAATTAATGTATTTATGGCCAATGTTTTGCTGTTGGAGGACTTTTATCTCTTATTAATAAAGAGCTGTTAGTTCAATTTCAAAAATACTAAAGTAAAACCCAAAATTAGAACATCCAATTTGTCACCACCATACATGGCTTGCTAAAAACAAACCCTTTCTTACCATACAGCAAGAAACAAATAAATTGGATATCAATTTATTTGCCCCCTAGACTTGCAAAAATAACTCTTCACATTGGATGGCATAAAAGTATAATACAGAAAGAAAGCATTCACTGAGCTTTGTTTGTTCAGTCATTTTTATTAGAAGAGGAGCCAAATGGAAGTGATCAAGTAATACACCGGTGCATTTAATAGTTCTTGGAATACCAGAATTAGCACCTACTTGTGTTATAAATTGATACTAAACAGACTCTGGCAATCAAGCATTGATGCTCTGTGTTTATTCTCTGTGAAGCCATTCAACTGGAAAATCTGAAGCGAAGGACATGGTTGGCTTAAGAGGCGCTATGAAGCATGGTATCCACTAAGTCATTTTGGAGAAGAGAATGTTGGTTCAAGGGAAGACATTTCCTGTTTTGGATCTCTCAGGATCTTACGTGTACCTCATAGAAAGATACATCAAGTGTTATAACTGTATCATTAATGATAAATGAAAAAGGTCCTATCATTAAGTATAAAGCAGTGTTTCTCAACCTTGACAATTTTAAGGCATGTGGACTTCAACTCCCAGAATTCCACAGCCAGCAATGCTGGCTGTGGAATTCTGGGAGTTGAAGTCCACATGCCTTAAAATTGTCAAGGTTGAGAAACACTGGTATAAAGATACCTGCTTAATATGAATAAGAAGTAGGAACAGTCCCAAGTAAGTTTAGGAATAGCCTTTGCCTGCTAGATGCTGTTTCTAAGGCAACCTGAAGCTTTCAAGCAAGTGCTACCATCATTCATGGACAGGATAGTAGAATTGTTGCCAAAACAACTCTATGGCAGGTTGGGTAAAAGTGGCCTAAGGCAGCAATTATGTTCAGAATTCTGTCTGAAACTTTCCTTTGGGGACTACTTTCCTGTTCCCATTTGCTTTTATGGTTAGGGAAACCAACTCTCTGCATTAACATTTGCAGATTTTTCCCCCCTGGAATTGAAATATCACCTGTGGACCATGATGCTTCAGCGTTACATCCATGGAGATGAAAATGGGGACAGGGTTTCTTCTTTAAAAAAGCAAAAGCAGCTGACTATATGGCATTAATATGCCATACTTTGATTTTATAAAATCAATTGCCTATGAAAAAAGTTTGAGGAGATTCTTCATCTTTCTTCATTTCCTGTTTAGTTGCTGATGGCTCTACATCAGTGTTTCTCAACCTTGACAATTTTAAGGCATGTGGACTTCAACTCCCAGAATTCCACAGCCAGCAATGCTGGCTGTGGAATTCTGGGAGTTGAAGTCCACATGCCTTAAAATTGTCAAGGTTGAGAAACACTGCTCTACATAAAGACTCCTAATTCTCTTCTGAGTTTCTGTATTCTTCATAAGAATGCTTGGGTGCTTGCCAGAGCTGTAGGCATTTAAATTGAGAATAGAATTTACCTTAAAAATATAAGATAAAATTCCATTTGAAAATAATAGTTACAGAAAACGAAGAGTAGCATGACAATATAGTATCAATTTGTGTGTTTTTAAAATGTTCATCTACAATTAAAATGTAAGATAAAGGAACACTAATACAGGCTATTTTAAAACTTAAAAATAGAAGATTGAAGCTGCAGTTCTAAACATTAATGAGTAGCTTCCACTTGAGCATGGTGGAATTAATTTCTGCATACCGTATTTATTGGCGTATAACACGCACTTTTCCCCCCTGAAAATAGGGGGCAAATGATGTGTGCGTGTTATACGCCGATATAAGGTCTCCGCCGCGTGGCCCCACCTCGGCCCGGGCAGCCACGCCCCTTCCCCATCCTCCTGCTGCCGCTGCCGCCGCGGCCCTTCACCACCCGGCCCCACCTCGGCCCGGGAAGC